GAGTATCTAAAAATGGAAATTTATTACTTCAGAGATTTTCTATTTTCCTGCAAAAAAATACCCCTGACTCCTGGGGTAAAATTTCCTGTGAATCACAAAATCTCTTCTCTCTGTGGATTAGAAGGATTGGGAGATCAGAACAAAAGCAGAGCCATTCCCTGGACTGAAGCGTGCCATTTCTTTGATGTAATATATATCTCTTGAAGGGCGTCTGCAAGCTAACAGCCTTGTTATTTAGGTTTTATATTTATTTGAATTACCACATTTACTGGAGCATTTGGAATCAAAGCAAGTGAAATACTGCATAGTCACTGCATTTTTTTAACGGCTTATGTTATGGCACGGAAGTGAGATTTTAGTGAACACGAGAACGTTTGTGGAAACTTTCCACCTTGGTTTAAATTTACATTTTCCATTGGTAATAAAACCAGTGAATTTTACAAGTATTTAAAAATACAAAGTGCTCCTGGGTTTGATTTTTATTAAAGACTGGAAAAATGAAATGGAAGCTTAAAACATATGAAAGTACTTTTTCTTTATTTCTTTTAATGTGAAAACTAACTGGCACTTTATGATCAGCTCTGGTATGATCTGTCTGTGGAGAAGTTTAAATGGGCAATGACAAATTCAGCACAGGAAATGGAAAGAATCACTGATGTATCATCTCATCCTAATTCCCATTTCAAATCTTTGAATTATGGCCACTGCACAATTCTGCACTGCAGAGAATCATTTATTTCTCCTACATAACCTAATAGAAATATCACAGGCTTTTTCTCATGTTCAGATTTAGATTCCATATGCTGCATCTGGCCTCATCTGCAGTCTTTGCTCATAGCTATCAAGTCACTAGTTTTCGGAATTGAGTAAAGCACGGGGAACCAAACTTCACAAGGTACATGAACTTACTGGTATGCAAAGTTATCCACTGGTGTTGCAAAATAATCCCCAAGAGGAAGTAAAATGGAAAGAAATCATAGGAAGGACTTCAGAGACAGCTCCCACTTTCTTCCTGAAGTACAGATCTAATAAAAGTGAAGCAAACTGATGTCTAAGGTTGGCACTATCTCTTCTTGTTTGCAGAGTGGTAGCAGGGTTGTATACCTGTGACGCTGCAGGGAAGGGCCCAGCCTAACAACTCAAGATGCCCACCTAGCTCCTGAGTTTTCCATGGCTATGGAGGCATTCCCTCTCAAATGGGATAAGTTTTTTTCTTGCCAGCTTTGTCTATCCCAAAGTTAGTGTTTAATGTAGGTGATCTGCGTTCCTTCTATGCTCAGCAAAGAGCACAGCTGTGGCCAACCTTAGCATGACAATCCTTGACACCCACCTTGGGGTGAGATGAATAACCCTCTCAAAACATAAGCCTTCCTGCACTTCCCTTAGGTGCCCAGAAGACTTGTCAAAACAGGTGTCTGACTTCTTGATAACTACAGTGAGGTGAAACACATACTACCCTGATCGTTCGCTTTTGCAGTATAATAAAAGCAGAGACAGGAATCTTTGAAGGCCCCAAGCAAGGTTGTGTCGGCCTTAGTGCATGCATATAAGTTAAGCAGACAGTATCTCCTGGGGACTTATTTTCAAAGACACCTGCTGACCGTGCAGGGAATTTAGGTACTTGCTTTAGGAAGATGGCTTCACTAGGTGCCTAACATTTAAATGCAAAGTGTCACTCCCTCAGGTGAGGCAGCTGGATTGCAGCTTCCATCACAAGACTCTGCCAGGGGCGGGGTGCTGGGTGTTTAGCCACAGTATGCAAGGAGCTCATATATATGTCAAAGTTACAGCTTGGAATGATGCCCTTTTGTGCAAGCACCATCTGGTATCAGAGAACCCAAATGGGTCCTGCCAGAAGATCCAGATCTGGAGCTCTATGGGGAGACTGGGACTCCATCTAGCTCCCCTCTAACTGAAAAATGCAGCAATTCTGTGCACCTGATGCCTGCTTGCCTACGTGTGTTCCCCTAAGCTCCAGCAACAAAGGAATGTCCCAAACACTTAACTCTTCTGCAAACAGTTGGGAGCTACAGATCTCTGTAAAATACCAACAGAACAGAGTACATTCCAGGATTCCTGATATGCTTTTCAGACAGTTGTCCCGTATCATCTTTGAAACTGAGGTATGCTGCTATTTCGCATCTGGACCTGTCCCACTTGTCTTCCTCCCCCCTATTTCTCCCATATTGCCCACCACTCTTTGCTTGGTGCAGAACCTCACATAGAGCAACTCACTGTGGCCATGGACTTGCTGTAGCTTTCGTGCTTGTTGCCTTGCTTTAATTCTCCAGTGACAGGAAGTTCTAATAGGTGAAACAGTCCAAAAAGCAATACAGTATCTTGCTTTGGACAAAGCTGTAAAACAAAATCCCACCTTTGTTTCTTTCTGGATATATCTTACCATGCTATGGTGCTCACTTACCAAAAAGAGGAGTACAACAAAAGGATTTACCAGAGATGGTAGGAATCACCTGAAAACATATATTGTGTTAAATATGTTTTTTCAAAATATAGGACACTGATAATGATCACTTGGAAGCAGTGGTAGTTCTTTCAGTTCTGCTTTCCCAACTCAGTGTCAGTGTAATACTCTGACTAGATAGATAGTTTAATCATCTTGGTATCTATGTGACAAATACATGTGTGCATAAGCACATAGAAAAATATTATTTGTAATGCAATAAGGTATTTGGTATTTCAAAATATATATATAATCATCTAAATTTTTATGTGAACATGGCCTAAAGGCATCCTTGCAGATCTTCATTAGTGTATGTGGTCATGATGCCCTCTGTTGACTTCAGCATGTGCCTGCAGCTTTCCTCCTCCAGCTCCGAGTCAGAGCTGATTATTGCCAGAGTATGCTCCAGTTTATTTTTCTGACCCAAAATCACAGCATGGCTGAGGCTGGTAGGTCCCTCTGTGTCCCCCTGCCCAACCCCTGCCCCAGCAGGGTCACCCAGAGCAGGGTGCCCAGGGCCACAGCCAGGCAGCTTCTGAAGATCTCCAAGGAGAAGATCCACAGCCTCTGGGCAGCTGTGCCAGTGCTCAGCCACCCACACAGCACAGAAGTGCTGCCTGGTGTTCAGAAGGAACCTCCTGTGTCCCAGTTTGTGACCACAGCCTCTTGTCCTGGCACTGGAAAAGAGCCTGAAAAGAGCCTGGCTCCATCCTCTTTGGCCTCTCTCTTCAGGTATTTTTTGACATTGATGAGATCCCCCTGAGCCTCCTCTTCTCCAGGCTGAATAGTCCTAGCTTTCTCAGACTTTCTTATGTGAGGTGTTCCCATTTCTTGATGATCTTTGTAGCCCTTTGTTGGTCTCATTCCAGTATATCCACATATTTCTCACACCAGGGAGCTGACAACTGGACGTGGTACTCCAGCTGTGGCCTCAGCAGCATGGAGCACAGGGGAAGAATCACCTCCTTGGCCTGCTGGCTCATTGTTCAGGATACCATCATCCAGCTTTGCAGAAAGGCTGCATTTCACACATACTAATACAATACAAATCAGGAGTTATAAAATTGGGATGCAGTAAAAATCAGGAGCATACCCATACACCATAACTTCAGTACTGAGGAAAGAACTGTCACAGTGGAAGAAAGGTGAGGCAGAGTCATATTCCAGGAGCAACAAAAAGCATTGTGTCTTATAATGAACCTGACTTTAAAGGCGATGCACTAGGGATTTGATTTGTATTGTTATTTCTCGGGGATATGAAACTTCAGTAAACAATTTTAACATCTAAATTCTGTCAAAACCACCAGAAATGTTCAGGAAAGTGGTGCCAGCCACTATGAACCCAAGCAAAATGTCAGAGGAGAGTTTTTTACTGACAGGGTATTGAACTGCTGGAACAGGCTGTCCAGAGAGGTTGTGGATGCCTCATCCCTGGAGGTGTTTAAGGCCAGGCTGCATGGGGCCCTGGGCAATCTGATCTAATACCTGACCTGGTGGTTGCCAACCCTGCCTGTGGCAGGAGGATTGGAAAGTGATCCTTGATGTCCCTTCCAACACAAGCCATTCTATGGTTCCATGGTTCTATGAACACACGGGCAATGGGCAAGGATGCTCAGAGGCAACTGCCAGGCCCCATCCTCCTTCACCTCCCTGCTTTTCTCACCTATCATGTTATATTCTGATGCTTTCTATATTTCTTCTGGCCCCTACACTCTTTCTGGACTCTGAAGGAATGGCCAAAGGATGCCGATCCCTTTGGTGACCCCAAAAAATTCACAGCACAAGGTGAACCTGCAGCTGTCCACTCCAGCTTCTCACCTTGCTCACTGCTTGCATTATGATGTGCGTGTGGCATTTTGACCTGCGCCTGCAAAAGAAGTGGATTTTCCCACAGACATCCATGGTCTGCCAAGTGTGAGCTGCAAGGGGAGGTGGCTTTTGTAGTCCCGTGCATGGCCTGAGCCCCCTGTGCATGGGCAGGGAAGGCCATGGAGACATAAAACCTCTGGGATGGGAGCTGCCCATGAGATGAAGCCGGATTGTGTCTTGCATTGTGTCCTTGCATTGTGTCTCATTGGTCTGCTCGTTAATGAGGATGGGGGGAGCAATGGGACCCCGACAAGCGCTGCTGATTTACATGCTGAAAGATCAGATGCGTTCAGACCTCGGGGCCGATGGAGGGCAAGCAGAGAAATCCTCCTGCGCAAAGACAGAGGAGTTCTGCCCCCTGCTGGCGGCCCTTTGCTTTGAACCAGCTGCTTCTACACAGCGCTGCTATTTTCCACAGAACCAACTAGATGTTGTTAATAGGACGATTGCTCTTCTCCCCGTAGTTTGTTCTAAGTAACGTAAGTCCATAACCACGAAGCCTGACATTTCTGAATACGACGCCTCCCCACCAGCAGACGCGCAGACCACCGCCATGCTGCCGCCTCCCGCGCGGCTCTGCCCTGCGCAGGCAATTACACAGCCGCTCGTGCCGCTCATTTGCATATCCCCGCCCACAAGCCAGAACCCCCGGCCGCGTTCTCCAGGCGGCCCCTCGCGGCTCCCGTACAGCCGCCCGTTCGCGGTGCGCCTGCGCGAGTCCGCGGAGTCCTTGGGGTGGCGGCGGGCGCGGGCTGGGCCGGCAGCAGGAGCAGCAGCAATGCAGCGCTGGGGCCGCGTCTCCTGCGCGCTCGCTCGGGTACGGCGCCGGCGGTGGCACCGCGGGGCGGGCGGGGAGGAACCGTAGGGCTCGGGCTCGGCTTCGGCTTGTGGCTTTGGCTTTCCTCACGCCACCCCTGCCGCTGGGCGGGCGGAGCGCTTGGGCTCGGCCGCGCTTCTCCGCTTTCACGCCGTGGCCTCGCCGCGGGGCCGCGTTCCGTGCGCGGCTCGGTGTTTGCTTTTCTTCGAGGTCGAGCTTCAGCTTTTAAAGCCGCGGCTTGTTCTCTTGTAGAGGAGCCATTTTGATCGAGTTCACCGCGGTCTCCAAGGAGTTTGTGCCGTGCCGCAGAGGAGCTACGCCGATCAAGGTGATTCACTGCGGGTAAAGCCGCTCAAGGAACGGAAAGCTGAGCGCCGGCCGCGGGTTGGCACGGCGCTGCGGGCGGTACTGGGAGCGGCTGCTGCGGGCGGATGGAGACCGCTGTGCGCTGCTGTCTGAAGGGCGGTTGTGGGAGGTGGGGGTTGGCCTCTGCTCCCAGCCAACAGCGATAGGCGGGAGGGAACGGCCTCAGGCTGCTCCGCGGGAGGCTCAGGTTGGGTGTTAGGAGCAATTTCTTCTCGGGAAGAGTGATGAGGCCCTGCACAGCTGCCCATAGAGCTGTGGGTGCCCCATCCCTGCAGGCGCTCAGGGCCGGGTTGGATGGGGCCCTGGGCAGCCTGAGCTAGTGAGGGGCAGCCAGCCCACGGCAGGAGCCTGGAACTGAATGGGCTTTGAGGTTCCTTACAACCTGAGCCACTTCTGTGAGAAACGCTTATTTGTCAGATTTACTGTCAAACTAAAGGCTTGAATAGAAGCTGAACTTTATAATGTAAGAACAGTGGCAGTAATTAATATTGCAGAGGAGGTTATGATTACTAGAAACAAATGAGGTACAAAGTTCATAGTATCTTCTCTGCCTAATCGATAGGGCTTGCACAGAAGTTTACCTCAGCCATATTTTCTGCAGTATAATGTAATAATCCTATAGTATGCACTGCTCTTATATCTTTTGTGTCAAACAGCAGAAGAAACTGCATTGTTAAAATGTTTAAATGAACTGTTCAGACATCTGAAGTCAAGGATTTTATAGCAGGAAGGATGGGTTGGATGCATCCTGGCTGTTTAATTTCATCTTACTTTTTTTTCCCTGTGAAGTTTAAAACTTTTCCTTTAATTGTAAAATACCTCTACACAATCTTTCCTTTTGTCTGGAAAGTCATTTTGTGAAGTGTAATTTCCCTAGTGTATTATAAACTGCATAGTTTTTAATAGCAATTTTTATTTTTTTTATTTTCCATTATTTGACATTTCCAAATATGAATAATTTCACAAACAAATTGGTCCTGTAGAGAAGTCTTAACTATTAAAAAAATAACTCTAACTTTCCCTGTTGCAGTTGATGCGGATGTCACAGTTATTGGTTCTGGTCCTGGAGGTTATGTTGCTGCAATCAAAGCAGCTCAGCTTGGGTTTAAGGTAAGAGGAGACCTTTTGAGACCTTTTGATCACTCTTCAACCACTCCACAACATAAAACATGCAGTGATTCTGTTGGGAGCGGGGGAGGTACCAAAGCAGTTCTCAGCTGATGTGATTTCCTAATGCCACTGGAGGAATTTGATGGCTATCTGGGGGTTTAGAAGTGAAAATTAGCATGCTGATAAGTTTCACTTTCATTCATGAATGTGACATCAGCAGGATTGCTGTTTCTCTTGACTCCTTAACATAGGACCAATTTACTCTCCTGGCATTGCATCATTCTTTTCTGAAGTACTTCAGAATCTGAGAAGGCATTGCTGAGTGTACTTGTGTATGCTCTGTTGGCTGGTGCATCCCGGTGCCTCTGAAGTAAGACAGCAGGACTTCATGAAAAAGCCAAGGTGATGAGACCATCTGGCAAGGACAGGAGCTCCTGTTTACAAGAAAGAGTTCAGTGAAATGTTGGAGCAGGTCCAGATTGCATGTAGCCTTCGTCCTTAGAGATTTTCAGGGCTTGGCTTGTCAAGGCCTTGAGCTGCCTGAGACAGCTTTGATGCTAACTGTGTTTGGAGAAGGAAACTTGGCTGGATGGCTTCTAAAGAAGGTCTCTTCAGCCTCAATTTTTTGTAGTTCTTAGTGTTGTCCCTCACTGGTTATTCCTCCAACAGCTGGATTTCAGTGATGTCTCTGAGTATATTTTAGCCTGATATGTAACAGAATCAAAATAGAATTTTTTGAGAGTCAGCAAAGTTTTACATCTGCCTTTGACCCTAGTACAGATAATTAAAATGTCAGACTTTTTTTTGTCTTGATTTAATAAATATTCTTTCATACGTATGTGTATGTATATATGTCCATGTGTTGTCACTGGGCTATTAGGACCTGGAGAAAAGATGGTCACTGCTACAGATTTCAGTTGAGTTTTAGATGATCTGCCTTAACATTTCATATTTATTTCTTCTAAGATTTATTTTTTTTGGTAGCTGGAAGCCTGCTTTTCCTGGAGCAATGCTTTATTCAAGACCTTCATGTATTTGCCTAGCAATAGGTTATCATATAGCAGAAGGCTTAAAAAAAAAAAAAAAATTAAGTGCTTTGCTTTCTGCTTTTTTGTCCTGGCAAACAGCTTTTATTCCTTCTTTAGAGTTTGTTGGGCAGGCTTGCATGCATCACCTGTAGCGCTAAAGAAACTTATGTTTATGCTGCTCCCAAGGAACATAACAAGATGTTTTTGTAAGACTGGCAAGTAGATAAATTCTGTAGTTATGTCATCCATGGAATAACCTGAAGCTGCTCTATTGAGTTACTGAATTTGAACCTTCAGTTGTACTGCTGCTTCTACTAGCACAAGCCTTAAATCTTCGTATCACCACTACAGCACCTCGTGTTATTGCCAACAAGTTTCCTTGAGTGTTGGCTTTGGAACAACTTTGCTTGGCCTTGTCAGTGAAGTTAATCTAAAGTGGATGAGGCAAAGCCTTATCAGGTAAAGGTGAGAGCAGTCTAGTGCTGTTTGATCCACAGTGCAGCTGTTAAAGCTCTTGGATCATTTTGTGTTTGCGTGCTTAAAACAGGAAGAGGGGTAGATGGGGATCAGCTGATCTCCATGTGGTTTTTGATTTGATGTTGTGAGTCCTCTTTTTCATGGTACTGTCATTACTGCTTCCCACAAAAGCAGCAAGTTAAATGATGGCAGGCTTTCATCTGTGGAATCACTTCTCTGCAAAATTGTTTCCTTGGAGTGTAAACCAAGAGATTGTTATTTTGTGCATATGTTCTGTGCTCAGCAAAGAAGGAAGGGACATTTCTTTTTGCTGCTGTAAAAAGGTTACAATTCTCTCCCCTCTTTTTTTTCCTCAGACTGTCTGTGTAGAAAAAAATGAAACATTGGGTGGAACCTGTCTGAATGTTGGATGTATTCCTTCAAAGGTAATGGTGCATTGTTTATGATAACTTCAGTAAAAACAATAGCTCCTACATGCATCTCTTTAAAACCTCTACTTATCTTTTTCCAAGAGTGACATACTTTGTTTAAGAAAGTACCTTGCAACCAAATGATTTGCATGAATAAAAGTAATACAAAGGATTGCAATACTTATTAATTCAGTAGAAATGTTTTACTTACAAACTCTGTTGTGGGGTTTCCTAAATGAGAGGAAGAGGGATAAAAGCAGAGGTGTATGCAGATGCATCTTCTCTCCCGTGAGCTGGTAAGTCTGTGTGGTAACCACTAACTCAATACAGCATTTACATGCTATTTAAATACAGTTTAAGGTGGTTTTGTCCTAAAGTCTGCTGTGTGGAATTCTCAATCCTTTCAAGTCTTTTACTTTCAGTATACATGTAGTTTTGTCTAGAAGTTGCACTTAGAGTAAAGGAATGATTCGTTGCTCTTATTCAGTCACTAGAGGTAGAGAATGTGAATCTAAATTATGGGGATAGAGACACCAATGAAAAATAAGTTTTTTGATGGGATGTGCTGTGCTCTGAAGATAACTGTCTCTCTCTGCCAACTGTAGGAAGGGCCTCATTGGTAGTAGCTCTTGTAATAGTCATGTAAGTTAAAAATAGTGTTCTTACTGCCTCCAAAAGATGACTTGGAAAGTGAGGCTGGTGGGGCTTGTGTGGAGTAGTGCCAGTGGGGAGAGAAAAGGGTGTGTGCCCCAAAAGAAAGGAGAAATAAGAAATTCCCAAGTACCAAATGTTGGATGTTGTCAATTGTGCTTTAAGCAACTTTGAAACAAGAGCTTTGTAAGAACAGTGCTGTTGCTGGATGAAGTATTCCTCATTAACACTCAGCAGATGAAGGAAGGTTATGGTAATCAGCTTTGTGCTGCCTATAGTAACAGACAGCTTTTTTATGAAGGTTCCTCCTAACAATATTGCATTTCTAATCTGTTTGCTGTTAGAGGTTCTGTTAGCAGCCTAGGAGAAAACAGTGTAGAATTGAGAAAGAGTACAAAGTTCTGAAAAATAATGTATCACTTTGCCTAGACATTTCAGTAAAGTATCTGATGAAACTCAGAATTTATACTGAAGAAAAATTCAAAAATGAGTTGTAGATCAGCACAGCATGACTGTGCAAGTTTAGCACTCTGCTGGTATGTATAGAAGTGACTTTTCTTCTTGAATCTTTGATTATTTTTATTCCATTGAAGTTCTTTTGAAAACAGTTCTGAATCCACGGCTAAACCTGAATGCTATTCAGAATTTTTTCCAGTGGCAATAAACTTCTTATGGAGTGGTTATGTAGGGTACATATGCTGAAGCAATAACAAATATTCAGATATTTCTTTCCAAAGAAGCCACTCAAAATACATTGAACATGGATCTCTTTTTTCCTTGGTAGTTGCTGAAGTCCTTTGCAGGGGCTGTATCTTTGGTTAATGTTTTGGGTTATCACAGATTCAGGGCTGTGACAGATAAAATGGGCAGATAAATTTGAGGGTGAAAGTTGGTTATTCTTATTGACAAAAATGAAATTATCTTGGTCCAGCAATATTAGTTTGATTTAAGTGTGTGTGTATAAGACAGATATGTCAAAGTAGTCTTTGAATGTATTGTGCTCTCTTCAGAATTCAATCTGTGCATGCTGTAGAAGGATGTTGACAGTTTCATGGTTGCAATGATGATTGTAGTAAGAAGTGTAATCTTTTCTTCCCAAGATTCCTTCTTATATTGCAGTTTCTAATCAAATTACAGTTTGGAGATCCTGTCTTTCAAGCTGCTCATCTTTAAATGCACTTAGAAAGGAACTGTTCTAATTTCGAATGGTGATAATCCTGTGATCTGAACTGGCTCTAAACCATCTAGTTTCAGCTCTGCCAGCTGTACAGTTGTAATGATTTCAGCTCAACTCAGCTACACAACTTAACTGATGTTTACACAGGCTAAAATTTAACAGTGATTTCAGTATAGATTTTCTCCTCTTCCAGCTTTTCTGTATCCTCCTGGTATTTTTGTTGACAAACTTTCTCTTCTGAGTTAATGAAGAAGTTCTACTGAGTCATAGCCATCTACTGTTTTTCTTTGCTTAAAGTCTGTTCCTACCTCTTTATTCTTAACGGTATCATTTCCAGTTTCTCTAGTGAAAAGGGCAAAAAGTGTAGGAGTGATACTTTCTGCATGTAATTGGTATGTTTGAAATACACCTTTTAAAATACAAATGTCAGATTTATTAGAGGTTGTTTTCTAAATAACTTCATTTTTTTAATATTCTGGTAAAAAAAAAATCCAATTGCATCTGTGTGTCTCAATTTACATTTTTGGATGTATGTTTTAGGCCTTGCTGAACAACTCACATCTGTATCATTTGGCCCATGGGAAAGACTTTGCTAGCAGAGGAATTGAAAGTGAGTGTGCAGAGCAACTTGTCGGTGCCTGTGGAAATAAATGGTTTCCATCAAGAAACTAATGTTAATGGTTCAGGTCTGACTACTATAACTGTAGGAAAGTTGGTCATAAAGCTTCACTGACTTGCAACCAGTATCCTTTCTCTACCAGCTAGAGATTTAGGAATGCGATTACTGGCTGGAGAAGTTACACTTGAAAAGAACAATGCTGCTTTGTAACATACCAATTGTTAAACATAACCTTCAATGTTTAATGGGGCGTTTGGGGCATCTCCCTGTCAGAGCTGTTTGCTGTAGGTTAGTTCCTATCAATAAAAGTGGAATGCTCCTTGAAGCTTTTTAATTTCAGTTACAGGAATCCGCTTGAATCTGGAGAAGATGATGGAACAGAAGAGCGGAGCAGTGAAGGCCTTAACAGGTGGAATTGCTCATTTATTTAAACAAAACAAGGTCAGTTTGGATTATTTACTGAAGTAAATGTATTTTTTTTTCTCACTTATGTTGCTTTTTGCATTCTCACATTCTTGCCACGTAAACCTATTTGATCAAGGGATTTGGCAAGGGCAGACTGAATGCTTCACTTCTAAGATATTTTAAATGAACAGATTGTTCTTGGGTCTACTTAAAAGAACAGTGCTGACTTTGTGATTTGTTCTGGATGCCAATGCAGAAGTTTGCATTAGCAGCTTCTCTCTGGTGAGATTCATATTAAGTCAACTCAATGATCTTTAAAGTCTTTTTCAACCTGAGTGATTCTATGATTCTAAGTGTAGCATAATTTATGTAAATAATTTGAACTCTAACCTACTGTGTTCTTGGTTATTAAAGGTGGTACACGTATCTGGGTTTGGGAAAATAACTGGCAAAAACCAAGTCACTGCAACCAAAGATGATGGCAGCACACAAGTTATCAATACAAAGAACATACTCATAGCTACAGGCTCAGAAGTTGCTCCCTTTCCTGGAATCACTGTACGTATTTGAAATCTTGGTGCTACTTTCTTTCATTGTGAAATAACTGCATAATTTAATGTATAATACTTTTGCATCAGTTTGGAATTCATCTTCTGTTCTACGTATGATGTATAAAAGAGATTGTAAACTTCCCTTTATTGCTTTCTTTGCTGTTAGATTGATGAAGATAATATTGTGTCATCCACTGGTGCTTTATCCCTGAAGAAAGTCCCTGAGAAGATGGTCGTCATTGGTGCAGGAGTCATTGGTGTGGAACTGGTAAGAGAATATTTAAACCTCTTAGTCCTTTATTTATAAGGTAACAGTTATTTTTTCACTGTATTTGATGTTGTTGCTGTGATTTAGTGTTGAAATCTCACCCTTAATGGCATGCTAGTTGTTTTTGTTGTTGTTTTTAGCTTAGAAGCTAGGAGGTGTTTGGGTCAGTGTTCTTGCAGCTGGTTAGCTAAGTGGAGAAATTAGAGGGCAATGCATAGGCCTTGTGTAGTTTTGGGTTTGGTTTTTTGTTTAACTTCCACTGAAGTTTGTTCTGTATATAGATAATAGAACTTCCTCTTCTAATGTAAATAAACTTGAAGCCATGCTTAACACCTGCATGTAACAGTTAATCCCCAAAATATTTTGTGATACAATTGCAAGCTCTGTGTCTAATAACAGAAGGAGTGAAGACTTTCTATTCTGCCTAGGTCTGAAGGACTGAGTCCTTTTGCCTCATATCTACACAGTATAAGAACATGTATTTGCTGGTCTGCAACTGCCTGAAAATCTGCAGACCTGCTTAGTGGTTGCCTTAGCTGCCAATGGTCAGCTGCCTGCTGGCCATTGAGCAGGGCAAGAGTAAGTGAAGATAAATGCTATTGAGATGGGTGTGGGTAACTTTTGAGGTAAATGGGATGTACGTGGTTTTAGGGAAGGTGATGATAGTGGTTATGGCTGTAAATAAATGCAAAAGCAGCAGTAGTTATATTCTGTTGCACAACATTTCTATAATTCGTTATTGTTTTGCTTTAGTTTGGTATTAGGGCACCACACAATTCTTATTTTCTGAGCTATGTTCCAATTAATTTGATTTTTAATTTTTCTATGCCTGTAGCCTAAAATATACCTAATTGCTTGTTTTCTTAACTATTTATTTAAAAGCTTAATTCCATAAGTTAAATCACTAAAGCATAAGGTACGCAAACAAGCAGTGATAAATCCATCTTTTCACTAAGGCTGTTGGGAACAGACATGTTATATCCTACACTGTAATGGTTTTTAAACGTTGATCAGTTTGCTGTTATCTGTTGTCCCTCTTTTGCAGTTTCCAGTCTCAGTGGTAAATATTGCAGTAAAGAAACCTGAAATTTTCCTTCAAAAAACTTTTCCTTTTAATATATTGCTGTGACCACAGGGTTCAGTTTGGCAGCGCCTCGGTGCGGATGTGACGGCTGTCGAGTTCATGGGCCATGTTGGTGGAATGGGAATTGACATGGAGATCTCTAAAAACTTCCAACGTATTCTTCAGAAGCAGGGACTGAAGTTTAAGCTAAACACCAAAGTTACAGGTGCTACCAAGAAACCAGATGGGAAAATTGATGTAGCGTAAGTATTTAACATAAAACCAATGGGACGGAGGTTGTATTTGTCCCACTCAGTCCTTCAAACCTATTTTAGAATATTCTGATATTATTATTGAAACGAGAAGAAATGAAACTTAATTCTTCAGTGAAGTTTAATTTTTTTCCTGTATTGTAACTTAGTGTGTTCATAACTTTGGCTTTATTGAAATCAAACTTGCTTATACAGGGGAGGTTCCATTAGCTTGGGTTGGTGTGCTAATGTAAAACCAGTGTTTTTTTAGTGAGAAACCTAAATTGTGCTGTTTGTAGAAGTTCTTTGCTTTTGGTAAATTAACATAAATGTGATTATTCATATCGTTATTAGTACTTCGGTGCTTATTGGGAGAGTTATGTTCTTTCTTCCCTGTCCCTAAATAAGCATGGTAAAGATTGATTACTTCTAATTAGAAATAAATGAAGCTGTCACAGACTGTTTTTTAATGGCCAGATTTAAGTGAACAACTAATAATGAAAAATATAAAGCAAATTTTCCTTGTAAATGTCCATACTTATGTGCTGCTGCTTTTCTTGTCAACATATTCTCTGTGCAGACTGGTAGCATAAGCTGTAGCTTGAGTTGTAAGAAAATGTGTAGTAAGCTTAAATGCCTTTTTCATTGGAATCTCAGTACAAGGAATTGTATCTGCTGTATGTCCATAGCTCAGGGTAGTCTGTCCTCTACCACTGGAGAAGTCCTAGATTTGGGCCTCTGTGAACTGCTATACTGATACTGCCTAGATTTCTCCTATAGTCTCTCTCTGCTTAGAGTTTCATTTTGGTTCAGGAGTATGCTTTTGAAGCATGTTTCCTAATTAATCCTGCTTTTACCATTCTTTGGTTCGTTTTTGCACTCAGAATGCAAACTGAACTTGTTCTAGATGCACTTTATGCAAGGCAAGTGCTAACAGTTCTTCTGGCCAGAAGAAAGTTTGCTCACAGTGCATGACTCTGCCTCACTCCGAAATATAAGTATCTTGGATGTTGTGTACCCAGCACCGATTGTTTTGCTGTACAGATTTGCTCCTAGCAGGTCATGCTACTTGTTAACAAATGCATAACCTGGATTTTTGCATCTAGGAGTTGTTAACAAATGTAGTGAGAGTTGTTGGCCCTTGCTTCCTCTCCTATTCATCAAGTCTTGCAAGGAAGAAGTGGGGATAGACCAGAGGCAAGTGTTGGGATGCCAGGTTCAGCCAGTAGATCACCATCTGGATCATATTAATCACTACTCAACGAAATGCAGTACTGCAGGTTTACAGCTTAGCATTCTTCTTGTTTTTCTGTAGTGTTGAAGCTGCTGCTGGTGGAAAGGCAGAAGTCATAACTTGTGATGTGCTCCTGGTGTGCATCGGTAGGCGTCCGTTCACAAAAAATCTAGGACTTGAAGACATTGGAATTGAACTTGATAAGAGAGGGAGAATCCCAGTCAATAACAGATTCCAAACCAAAATTCCAAAGTAAGTAATATTTAATATTTTTTTACTTTCCTTAAAGCAGGACTCTTATTTTTAAAAGTTTAACTTAAGATACTTTTAAAATTGCTTAATATAGCTTTTTTTCTGGAAGAACAACTCAATTTATGTTTATTTCAGCAATTGAGGATTTTAAATCAATTTTTTAAAGTTCTATAATTTGAAAGTTAGGATGTGCTGGCAGTGGTTCTTGAGGTGTGCTCATTCAGTGGAAACTGTATCTATAGTTCCAGATTTCTTCTGCACATTAGTAGTTTAATCTGATTTTGCAGAAAAATCCAGCCATGTTTTGAACTATTATATGTGTTAGCTGAGGTGTGCTAGTACATTTTTAAACAGTATCTAATTCTGTTTCATTGATCTGATAGCATCTATGCTATTGGTGATGTAGTTGCTGGACCTATGCTGGCCCACAAAGCTGAGGATGAAGGCATTCTGTGTGTTGAAGGGATGGCTGGAGGTGCTGTTCACATTGATTATAACTGCGTGCCCTCTGTCATATACACTCACCCTGAAGTGGCCTGGGTTGGCAAATCAGAAGAACAGCTGAAAGAAGAGGTACTGTTTTCTTCCTGAACAAAACTGTTTTTCTGTCTTGGATGTGGTTTCATAGTGTGATAATGGCTGTTGCTTTATCTAGCTACTTCTCATGGGAGAATTTATCTGTCTGAATTTATTGCGTAGCACGTATGGCTAAATTTGCATGCTATTCTCACAAAGGATCACAGTCCTCCATTTCTGTGCCATTTTTTGATCCCTCTTTATACCTGTTATTTTCATATGTTGTTCTGTGCATGTCGTGTGCCTTCTAGTTTTGTATGAGACCTATTTTTATCATTATCCAACCGGCTGCATCATTCCTGTTGAGCTTTCTGATCATTAACTCAGTGTCAGTAACAAGTATCTGTTTTGTAGGGAGTAGAGTACAAAATTGGGAAATTTCCATTTGCTGCAAACAGTAGAGCAAAGACAAATGCTGACACAGATGGCATGGTGAAGATACTTAGTCAGAAGTCAACAGACAGGATGTTGGGTGCACACATCTTAGGCGCAGTAAGTACTGTAAAGTGTGTTGCTACTTGGTAGCTTTAAGGGTGATTCATTGTGTCACGTGGTGCTTGTAAAAAGGAAGATTTGTCTTACAAAATTGCATGGATTTACTGATTTTTCTCTTCTACAACCCTCCTGCTCACATCCCTGCTTCACTGTTTTTTTGGCAATGGACACAGCTTTTTCTTTCTACTTTTCTATTCCCTGAAAAGGCAAGGGCTATTCAGTCTCTTACAGTTTCATCTTTATGAATATTGCCAGATATTTAAGAGAACAGCAGAAACTGACTCAAGTTCTGGAAGTTGGAGTAGCTGAACAGATTGGGGTTTTCTTCCCTGCTTTTCTTTTTTCTCTGGTTTTCTCTACTTCTGCAGAGTTGGCAGCCTTGTGCTGCAGTCACCAAGTCTGGACTCAGTCACTGATGAAAGAAAAGACTAAAGAAAGCACAGCTCAGCTTTATCACTGTGAGCCAGGCAGTAATTTTAATCAGTAAATGGAAGGGGCTGGCGAGAAATCTTAAGGTTGTGTATCTTAATTCTGAAAATATAATTACTTATTCACTGTTTTATTTTCAACTATCCAGATATTTTTCTCTGGCTGAGTCCCTTCAAATACGACTATTATTTAATGAAAATGAGGCTGCAGATATAGTAGTGTACTTCAGTTTATCTGGTTATCTGATTAATTTTCTAGGAAGGCATTAAAGAGCATTAAAGTTTTTGGGGTTTTTTGGTTGTTTTTTCTTTCCCTGCAGTGATAATGTACAGTACCTTGGATCAGAACATAGGTAGTATCTGACTGCTCCCATGTGGAACAAAGCCCAGATTTTACATAAACCTCAGCAATGAGAGAGCAAATACTCTGTTGTAGCATTATGTTCAATTTTAAGCTCAGCTTAGCTTAGCCACCAGGTTGACAAAGTTCTTAGGACTGACACAAGAGCACAGCTGAAGCACGTCATAGTATGGTTTTCTTTTTAGCAAAAGATGCTTATTTACAAGCTGGGTATTTCTTAATTAGCAATTCAGAAGCAAGACTATTGCATGAAGATCTGTTCTAATTACAAACATTAAACTGCAGGGTGCTGGTGAAATGGTTAACGAAGCAGCTCTTGCTATGGAGTACGGAGCATCGTGTGAAGATGTAGCCAGAGTTTGCCATGCCCATCCAGTAAGTCTTCCTAAAGCAATTGTTGAACACAGGGGTTGCACAGACTTGCTGTGACTACATGTAGATATTAATGATTTGTACCTTCTGGTTTGTTCTCTGCAGACGGTGTCAGAAGCCTTCAGGGAAGCTAACCTAGCAGCATCTTTTGGCAAAGCTATCAACTTCTGAAGTGAAAGAGCAGTTCTTTGAACATCTGTAGTACGTCTGAAAACAGACTGCGAGCCCTTGTGGAAGGCGAGTTTGAGGACTTTAGGATGGAATTAAATGAATCTTTTCACTTTAGACATCAGATATTTAAACAAGTAGAGTTTGGAACAAGTGGAATTATCCAGTCTCTGTAAATTAAATAGTTAATATTCCATGTTTATTTACATCATGAATGTTGCAGAAAAACAGCCTGACAGAACTCTTTCGTTCAAAACCAAATATTTTGCTGCTGCATGGGATGATCAGGTGTGCTGGTCTCAGCTCTGTACAGGTGTCCAGCATACCTGGTGTGTTCTTATTTGAAGTAGTGATAGACTAAAGCAGTTGAATGCTGGCACTTAACATGCCACTGGCACTTAATGCCACTGTCACTTCCGCACAAAAATATATTTCCTTGTGAAAGGATTAACTAAGTATTTAACCTACTTACATATGAGTACCAGAGTTAGTTTTGATCTAGTAATGTTAGGATTTGGGGAAAGGAGGGACTTGTGTAAATTGATTAATACTATGTTGACTTTTTTTAAGATAAAATCACTCTATGTGTGATTCTCCACACATCATGTTTTCATATTGAAAACTCACTGGGGAAAAAATCAAGTGCTGACGGGGAAATGAAAGACTGAAGGAAAACTGCTCTTACTGTTATTTAACTTCCTGTTTGTAAAGCTTCCATTGTCCAACTCTCTTTGACCTTGAAATGATAAAACTGGGCAGTGAAGCCTCGCTTGCTGTTAAGTGTGATGATGTGAGGGTTATTCCGCACCTTCCACACGTAAGGGCTGCAGCGTCAGCTCTCCATACAGTTCAGACATACTTCTTTCTCTCCTGTTTTCTATTTTGTGCTCTCTTTGTGTCTCTTCTGTTTCGAGAGAGCTTAATAAATATTTAATGTTGCCGGAGGATCGTCTTGGGTTTTATTTACTGACTTGTTAGTGTCCAGGTTGGTGGATAGCAGAAGACTCGCAAACAAATACCAGGTAAAGGGAACGTGCCCAATGCCAGTAGCTCTCTTGTTTTGCAGGATGCCACTTCATTTTATTAGAATCTCTGCCTTGAAGAGAATCTTAGTGTGTGCTAGTATTGTCCTTTTTCATTGTGTCAGTGGCTCGACGGGTGGAAGGAGAATTGTTTTAAACTAAAAGAGGAAAGATATAGATAGGATATTATGAGGAAATTCTTCACTTTCAGAGTGAGGCCCTGGCACAGCTGCCCATAGAGCTGTGGGTGCCCCATCCCTGCAGGCACTCAGGGCCGGGTTGGATGGGGCCCTGGGCAGCCTGAGCTGGTGGGGGGCAGCCAGCCCACGGCAGGAGTTGGGAATGGGTGGGCTTTGAAGTCCCTTCCAACCCAAACCACTCTATGATTTGGCAGTTTCTGTTCTAGTTGAGAGCTTGTAAAGATAAAAATGCCACTAAGCTCCCTGTAAATGAGCTGATGGCAATTGTTTGAATGCTTCAAAGTTTCCAGATGTAAAAAACCGTTGAGCATACTGACAGTGAAATAGTGTATGATGCTGCTGTGGTAATCAGTGTGCTGGACTTTTTGCTCCAGAGGAAAATTACTTACATGTGTTGCTCTTCAGTCTGCACAGGTGGTGCAACATAGTGCTATAGTTGCCCAGACCAACTTCTGCTGTCCTTGGTCAAGGTGAGGTTAATTACTCATCAAAAAGTATTTACACAAACATATCTCTCATGTCAGTAAGCAGTCAGTGTGTGTAAATGCACATTGTCATTGGGGATGCTGACTTGTGCATACATCACTGGTGAATACTGCAGAACAATTTCTGCAGGACTGAGCAGTTAGCTGAAGGTGCACTGTTCTACAGAAACTTGGAGCTTAAAGTTAATGCAATTTATGGTGAACTGGATATCACTCTTGCCTTTTTTTAAGTCCTGTGTTTTGTTCAGTACAATCTGTTGATAGGGAGCCTCAGTGTGCTGCTTCAATTGTGTGTGTGTGTGTGTGTGTGTGTGTGTACAGCTCCTTAACTGATTCATGTTAAGTGCTCTGTGAACTTCACAGGTGGCTTTGTTCCTTCCAACCATACCTTACTATGTAAATTTGGTTCTTGAAATGTATACCACACTTACGTCCTCAGTGCTGACCTCTATTCCTACCTCACAAATCAGAAGTGTTCCAGTGAAATGAAACTTGCTTAAACCACTATCATGCAGAGAGTAAACATTCCTTGTAGAGTACCATGGTGTCAATGCCAGCTAACCATGAGAGGGGTGCTAACTTTGTTCTGAGTTGTTATCCTGTACTTCACAGTAATCAGAGCTCTTCTTTAGAATGTTGTAGTTGGAGCCAGTACTTTATTAGGAGATCTCTAGCTAGTTTAAAAACAAGACTTGCAGAAACTCGAGGATTAGTTTCACCTACTGAAAATAACATGGAACTTAATGAGTCATACTAAGTACATACAGTGATACAAAAGTACTGTTTATTTTCAGTGTCAAAAAGTTACTTCTCTTTGGTTCTGTGACTTAGAAGTCAATATCAAACCTGTTCACTTTATCAGGTCTTACTGTCAAAAACAACTAGTATAATACTTGTTAAAACCCATCCTGAACACGAGTGTTTCCTGCTCCCATTTATAAGCAGGTGCTGTACACAGCAACCTTCTGGCTGATTGTCTGTAAGAGGGAGCGAACTGTCTCTTCCAGCTCCACCAGCTGCTTGGCTTTGTCTTCCAGAACTTTTTGATTGTTTTCATATGTATTTTCCAATTCTGTCAGCAAAGGAAGAGGAAAAACAGCTTAATTAGGTATGTTTTAATGTGATAAAATATCAAAAGTAACTTATGGAAAAACTACCATTCAAACTTATTATCTTGTGGAAGAAAAACTGATCTATAGTAGCAAAGGCTGGAATGGCACCTTTTGTTTCTCTAGTATTGGGACAGAAAGCAACAAGTAATTTTCTGTAAGTGCAAACAGTGTGCTCTGATTCATGTTGATAATAACTGCCATTCCCTACTGTTAGGCTGTCCTGTTGATGTGAAAGGTTTTGGCTTGTTACAGTCAAAATATTCAGTGAGTCATTGTAGTTGTGCAGGAACAAGTGAGAGGAAGCATGAGTTCCCAGCCTGGCAAAAACAGAAGGAAAACCTTGCTTCCTCTCTGGCAGTTATGGGCTGACTGCCCCCTTCTGTTTCAGTCAGCTTTAACTGGCCATTGTGTTAGATTCATCTGTAAGCTGGAACTGCTGTATCCTCTTTACCCTTTGATTTAATTGCATTCCAGGGTGTGTGAGGGGAACACTGTTTGGTATTCTGGGTTGTCTGTCAGGAGTTTGACTACTTTTGGTGTTGCTGACCAATCGTGGTTACTTATGTTCTAGTTCTTCTGTGCAGTGATTCTCTGAGCAGTGGTAGGTACCATACCAGAAGTTTGTGTCTCTCTACATTTTTGCTCTCTTTTAATACAGTGATTTCATGATTATGTTATGTCCATAATAAGGAAAGCTGTTCAAACTTCAGCACCAAAGAATTAACTCTTTGTTTTCCTGCTGCTGATGAACACTTGGTTTAACAGCACGACAGTGCTTTGTATTCTACAGCAGTACCTTACCTCCTCAGAACAACCTTACCTTTGAGCAGCTGCAGCTTGCTGTTGGCTTGAGCCAGCAATGCCTTCGCTTCCTCTTGCAACATGCTGGCTTTCCTCCTCGCGTCAGCCGACTCCTCTGACTTTTTGGTGATGAGATCCTCCACGGTTTTGTACTTGCTGTTCAGCTCAGTGTCGAGGACCTGTTGTTCCAGATATAAACACAAGATGGAGCCAGTCAAAAGACAATGCAGAAGGAGTTGCCCAATATCCGGGCTAAGGAGAGCAGTGTCAGCTCAGGTAACAAAAGCAGCAACAGGGTCGAGGGATTTCCTGTTGAATATTCAAGATCTGAAGAGTCGGTGCGAAGACTCATCAACGCCTCTTGCACATCTGTGGCTGTTCTACAGCTCTAACACTAACACAGCATGGACTGCAGTTACACAATTCTGGAACTCGGGGAAGTCACAGTCCCTGACACAATGGGGCAGTGGGGGAGGAACAGCATTGCTGCCTTTTCAGTAAACAGCTGCCTGGCTCTCGAAGGTGAGGGTACTGGAGATGACATCAGGTTCACTTCTCAGCTGTGCTTTTTCCCTGTGAGGTTAAGGAGTACCACAAATAAATTCAACTAGTAAGCAAGTTAACAGTCTGCAGCAGTACTAGAACCCTCTGGGGTCTGATGACCACCTGAAATACTACTTAGTGTTTGGAAATAATTGATGGATACATTCCTCTTAGCAGAAAATGTCTCTTGAGACTGGGCTAATTCCAGCCAAAAGACTGGAGCAACGAAAACTTCCTTTGGCAGATTTGTCAAGTGTTTTGTTAATGAACATTCTTTTGGTATTACGAAGGTGTATAGCAGACACTGGGAATTATGCCGTATGGTCAGAGTGAATTCTGCATCTCTGATATTTAGAAATGAGACTAGTTATACAGTGAGCTAAGGATTTATTCTTGCCACTTGATTCCGTATATGCCCAACTAGGGTTTGTTTGGCCTGAACGTCACTGTAGAAGCAATTTTATTTTCCATCTATATTTGCCAGTTGACCCGTGGCAGACAGTGAAGCTGAGGGACAGAAACAGATCTGTGAAAGGCTGATAAGTGGTAGTGAAGCATATTTCCTGCAACTATTTTTGAACCTGACAACTTCCTAATGCTTCTGTCTCTTTACATTTAGTAACAGACTGAGTAAAAAACACTTCAGTAAGTGCATTAAGCACTTTTTTTTTAATCACTAGCACTTGGCCAATAAATAAAGTGGATCAAGTGAATTCAGTGCCTACCCAACCCCAGGGTCAGTTCTGTTGGCTCTCCTTTGCTATCTTTCCCAAACTTCTCACCTGTTTAACTTCTTCAGCATTCTGTTTTGCAGAAACAATTTTTTCTTCTATGTTGCCCATGTTTTCTGAATTTGTTGCAGCCTTTTGCTTAAGGTCTTCAACGCTCCTCTCAAGTGCAAACAGACGTAAAGTGGCATTGTTCAGTGTTTCTTCAGATGCTGCATTTTCAGACTGAATCTAAGAGAGGGACAAAGATAGACTTACAAAAAACTCTGAATATCATACAAGCCTTCTTGTAAGTTCTGATCCACTCACTAGGTCATAACAATAGATCTAATACTTAAGAAGCGTTTTATTTTGTTAAAAATGGACAACTGCAATTGGGGTGAAAGAGCCCACTGCTTTAAGATGAAATACATTGAGATCTCCAGAAGTGTTAGGAAGTTTCATTAAGAATGACTTGATTGCATTACATGTGCTTAAGTTCTGCAAACAGAACTTCACAAGTTCATTATCAAATGATAGTGCTAACTGTCTGAAGTTGTCCATCTCTTAAGCTGTCCAAACTGAATGGGTAGAGTTAGCACTAAAGCCTGAAAATACATTATCTGACACAATTACAGCAATTACCACTTCAATCTAGCATCAGTTTTCTCCTGCTGCAGTGAATGGCACTGCTAGATAGTGTGGTTATGCCAATATACTGCTGCCAAGGGACTGACATGTATGGCTTCATAGGGATCTTGGCACACCTGCTGTGATCCTGCTATGATGTAAGTGGTGCACAATATGGGGTGAGAAAAGCCTTTTTTCTTTAAGGACATGTAGGCCTCTAGTTATCTGTCATATTCTGACTCAGATGTTTATATAGTAAAGGCCAGAATGGTTTAGACTCATTCTAAGTGCAGTCTTTGATTTGCCTTCCTTAGACATCCTTACATTGGTTTCTGAATATCAGACATGTTCCTGTTAGTATATCTTAAAGCATACTTGGAAATAACTTACTGAGGTCAGCAGGTCTTGAGTTCCTTTAATATCTTCATCAGCTTGTTTAATGGC